GGCAGTGCTGGGGGCACAATTGGGCTCAGGGATATTAAAGGTCTCTTCCAAAGGGTTCTGAGGCTGTCTCAGCCATCTGCTGGAGGTGGTGTCTCAACACCAGGCCAGGGCTGTGGTGCTGCTGCACTCCCCTGCTGGCCGCAGGGGCCCAGCCTGGCTCTGCTGCTCGGCCAGGCTCACAGGGCACACTGGGGTTATTTTTTGGCTCACGGTGCTGATGTTTTGTGTCTGCCCTTTGCAGTTTGACGATCACCTCATCAGCCCCAAGGAGTTTGTCCACTTGGCAGGCAAGTCCACGCTGAAGGATTGGAAGCGAGCGATCCGGATGAACGGGATCATGCTCCGGTGAGGCCCCTGTGCACCTCCACAGCAGCAGCAGAGACCTTTGCCCTCTGGGGGACACTGGTGGGGTGGGACAGAACCTCCAGCACCCTCGTTTCACTGCTGAGACAGCAGATGCTCCACTGAACCTTTGCCTGAATAACAGCCTGGCCCCAGATGTGGTTTGTCCCATGGCTTTGCTTTGTCCTTGTGCCTAGGGGATAATTTGGAGTCAGAAATGTTTTCCTGGTGTCTTTAGGACTTGAAGCACGGTGAGTTCCCAGCTGGTGTAAGGTCACTGAAAACATGAATGACCAGTGGTGGTCAGGCTGTGCTGTCTGTGGGTCCTCAGCATGACCTACCAGCTGCAGTCAGTCTGGGCATAACTAACGCTCTCTTTGCAGCAGTCTGCTCTTCATCACTTGGTTTTTTTTTTATGCTAAGGCCTTCTTTAAAGCCCATTTATGCAAGCATTTCTCTTCTCTGGCCTTAACTACAGTCATTGAGTTCTTTTATGGTCTTGAACACCAGCCTGAGGCTGTGATTTAATTCAAGTCTGTCTCTGCCTGTAGGCAGGATACAAAAGCATTGCCTCTCTCCCCAGGAATTGTCTGTGGGTTTGCACTCCCTTCCCAAGGTGACATTGCCTTGCCTGTGTTCTTCTGCTTCAATGCAGGCATCTCCCATCTTCCTTCCTTTTGCACCACGTAGATTTTGTGTAACAGGCAAGTCCTTCAAGGAGAAGATCTTCATGAGGCATGTGTGAGGCAAGCCCAGCAGCCCCTGTGAGCAGGTCCTGGGAGGCTCGGGTGGTTGTTGACCAGCAGAGCCTGGGGATGCTCTGGAGACAACCTGCTCAGACTGGGAAGATAATATGCCAGTGTTGTAACCTGCCTTGCTTAAGCTGAGAGATGTTATTTGAGTTCATAAATAGGGTTAAGCCCCATCTGTTTGAGGTGTAGAGTGAAGAAGGGAAGGATCCTGCTGCCTTAGCCTGAACTGAGACTGCAGCTGACCCTTCTGCTGGACACTTAGGGTGTGCTTGGTGGGAAAAGTGCTGGTGGGACCAGGCTGGGACCTTCTCTTCTAGTTCCTCCCTCAATGAACCAAGTGATCATCAGTACCTAGTTAGAATGACAGACCCCTGTGCAGCAGAACCTGCTGAGAGAGGTGGGACCAGCTCTGAGACCAGCTTGTTTTAGGCTGAGTGAGAGAGCAGCAGGACAGGGTGGCTGTGCCTCTGCCCTGAGGAGCCCCACAGCCATGGGCATGCTCAGGATGGGGGTGTGTTCTCAGACAAAGGTGAGGGATGTCCTCTCACCACGTCAGGAGATCCACAGAGGCTGCCCATGTTCAGCATCCCTGGACAGGGACAAAACTGCTGCATGGTGGGCCCAGGGTGAGGGGAGAAGCTGTCCCCACTTCGCTGCCCTTGTGGGGCTGGTGGTGTTTGGGCTCTAAATGACACGTTTTCCCTGAAGGCTTGTAGCCAGCAGAAGATCTGCTGAGAGCAGTGTGGCTTGCCCCAGTGCTTCTCAGGGTGTTTAGTTTTATAGGGATATATCCTTAGGAAAAGCTCATGTGTCTCTTGAGCCTCTCAGCCTGAGTTGAGTCCTCCAGTGGTGAAGAAAAGGACTTAAAGTTCATCCTCTTTGGGTTGTACTTGGAGTGGAGCCTTTTCAGAGGGCTGAAGTCTTGCTGTCTGTCCTCCATCCTGCAGGAGGATGGTCAGAAACTGAATCTGCTCCAGTCCTTTCCCACAGCTCCAGCATGATGGGCTCTTCTCTCCCCAGCCCAGCCTCCTGAAGGGTGTTACCTCCACTGGAGCGTTGCCTGGCTGTTGGATTTGTGCATGTGGCCAAGTATGGAGCAGGCTGTGGGTGCTGTTTTAATGAGCTCTTAGTTAATGCTGCCTCTGAGGTTAGGGGGGACTTGTCAAGAGGAATTCAGGCTGTTGCCTCTGCCTGCTCTCCTGGCTTTTGCTTTTCATCCAGGACTTGGAGAAGTTTGGGGGTGAAGGCCGCCAGGAGCCGCGTCTGGGCACTCCCTGCTCCCGCTGACCTCCCTGTCCCTCTCTCCCTGTCTTTCAGGAAGATCATGGACTCAGGAGAGCTGGATTTCTACCAGCACACAAAGGTCTGTTCCAACACCTGCAGGAGCACCAAGATTGACCTGACAGGAGCCCGGGTGTCCCTGACCAGCCAGACATCCACGGAGTTCATCCCGCTGACTCCGGCCACGGCGGATGGTACGTCCAGGCACCCCCCACGCCTGGCCGGGGGCTGGGGGGGGTCTGAGTGCCCCCTGGCCCACGCCCCTCAGGCCACCCCTTGCCTTGGCTTGTGGGTTTTCTGTCCTCTGCTTCCTCTCCCTGCTCAGCTGCAGGATTCCCCATAGCAGAGCTGGGCGGGGTCGTCGGCAGAGCATCTCTGCAGAGGTGCCGTAACTCACCCACTTGCTCTGCAACCCTGCATGACCCCTCGGGCCTCCTGCCTTACCCCAGGCTGTGTAGCTGAAGCAGGAGACTGCAATTAACCTGTAAGAAAACAGGAGGCGTTGCTCTGACGTCCCCTTCTGTCCTCACTGCTGGGCGGGCACCAAGTCCAAAGGGCTCATCCTGGTTGGCAGGGATCAGTCTGGCTGCTGCTGTGCAGGGTGCCAGGGTAGAAGTCCCTCCTCCCAGCTCCAGCCTGGAGTAATTCAGGGGTTTTCTGCTTCTGGAGTAATTTAAGGGGGTTTAAGGCTGAATTATTATCATGTTTGTCTGATGAAAGCTCTGAGAGAGCCAGGGGATAGAGCACACTCTCAGATCTGCACTTGTGTATGTAGATGATAAAACTGGATTTAAGTGACCTTGTCCCTGTGGAGCTGTAGCCCTAAACTCAATTTGAACTATGCTTACAGGCAACTATTTTATTGGAAAGCCTTCTAATTTCTTAGTACTTCACTCCTTTAGCTTCTGAGAGTTAAGAACAGCCCCTGAGGAACCCCCCAGCCTGAGGTCCTGGTGGTGGCTGTGGGAGCAGAGCAGGGACAGGATGAGCCCCTTGGCTGGTTCCACAGAGCAGCTTCAGCCCCCATGGCTCAGGGCTGTGCTGGGAAGGATGGTCCTGAGCTCCCTGGTCAACGTAGACATCAGCTCAATAATGGGGAGAACTTCCCATGCTGCTGGGGTGTGCTGGAGTGACCAGAGCCCTGCAGCTGCCAAGTAAAGGAGCAGAGGGGTTGAACTTAGCAGTGGCTGAGCAGCACAAACACCCCACACAGCACCACAGGTCTCTGCTCAGAGCCATGTTCATCCTGCTCCTGGCTTGAATGATGCCCATTCCCTCAGCTCTATGGTACCCAAACCACTGAGATGTGGCAGAGCTGGAGGGAGGGAAGGAGCCCTCTCTTCCATCCCTGCACTGCGTGAGGATGCTGCTCTCCCCATTGAGGCTTTAGAAACCCTCCAGACATCCCAGTCAACTGGGCAAAAAAAAAAGATTGCCAAAAAAACCCCCACCCAGACTCTCAATGTGTTTGACACTTGCCCTGAGCAGTGCCAGCGTGTGTGCAGGGGGCAGCGGGAGGCGAGGCCGCTCTCGGGCCTGCCTGTGGGCAAGGGTTGCAGGATGAATCCCCAGGGTGCTGCTGGCACAGCACCAGCGTGTGGCTTCTCTCGGGTGTCTGTCCCTTCAGCCTGGAGGGCTGTGCTCACCTTGGGCCTGTGTGCTAAAAAGGACAAGTCAGAGAAGTGCAGCGAGGGAGCGCTTCCCTCGGGAACAGCCCGGGGAAAAAAACACAGAGAAAAATCAGGACTTGGGATTTTTTTTTCTCTTTTTTTTCTTTTTTTTTGCTATTGGTTGCAGTGAACGGATCCCCAGCTACGATTACCATAGAAACCTGTGAGGATGGCAGCGACTGGAGCAGCAGCATCGGGGGGAAGGGGG